TTGGTAGTTTCTAATAATAGCCGTATCACCTTTTTTAAAAATTTGGGTAATTTTTGCAATTTTCAGTTGTTTAGGAAAAATTCCTTGATTAATAAAAACTTTAAAGAGAATATCTTTTAATTGTTCAAAACAGCTTAGAATTATATTACCATTAATGTCATTTACTTCAGTAGCTTTGTTTTTTTTCAGAGTTTTAAATGCTATTTCAAATTTTTCAAATAATAATTTAGAAGACTATTCCCCAGAAGTAATGCATTCATTTATCGGTACTGGAAAATCACGCTAAATATAGCCTGCGTCATTGTAATCTTATTGGCCAGTTGAGGACCAATTTTAACAAAAAAATTATTAAACTCGCCAGCCATTTCTTTTTTTTCATAGATGATTCTATTATCAACCTTGATGACCTGGGGAAAGAAACCTGAGCAGTCTTTGTTTTCCGCTTATTTCTTTTATTATTTCCCATGTACGTTTAGAGTTATTTTTATACTTATCAATTAAGCTAGAGTAGTAATTTTTTTCAAAATTTTTCGAGTCTTTTAAAACTGATATTTAAAATCTTTTTATATTTTGTTATTTTCTTAGGACTTTGTTTTTAAATACTTTTTCTGCTTGATCATCGATGATTTTTTAAAATCTTTGGTAATCCAGGGGTTAAATGGTAATCAAGGGATTATTTTTTATTTTTTGAATTTATTGTCTTTTCCATGAATGGAAAATTTGCATCGTAGATAAAATATAATGTGTTGAAAAAATTATCATATATAGAGTTTGCGTCATCGTTAAAGTTTATATGTTTCCAATGGAGCAATGATAGTTGCTCTTTAAACTGATTAATATTGTCCTTGTTAATATGACGAAGTCTAACTTTTTTGCTTATCTTAATCATAGTTTGGGGGTTATAGTTAAATGTTAAAAATATAGGGAAGTGATCGGAAATATCAGTTTTTAAAATACCTTTTTCATATGTTTTTATTAAGAATATCTGTTGTAATAATATTATCGATAAGAGTAGTTGTGTTTATTGATACTCTTGTTACAGTTACAAACTGTAATAAATTGACAAAACGTAACTAATAAAGAATGACATAAAAACGATTATCGATGAAAGAATACAAAGACTCGATAAGTATAATAATTTTAGTTTTTATAATATAAATATATTGTAAGTATAATAAACAAATAAAGAAAATATAAACAGAAAAACACTTATTTTACATAAAATATAATACTTTAATAAAAGTCAAAAATGCATTAAATGCATACGCAAAAATACATGACATAAGTATAACTATAAAAATACACATCAATGTAAACAATGTAGTCACTAAACAAAATTTAAAAGTTTTTTCTTGTTCTTTTCTTTTAATGATATTATTTTTCTGGTAGACTAACGTAATTCATTTTTTTTTTTTTTTTTTTTTTACTTTACATATTCGAACTATTTTTTCTTTTACTGAATCTTTTTTTCTATTTGGTATGTTATTTTGAATTGCTTTTCATCTTTATTTGTTTATATCTTTTGATCTTGTTTTTACTTCATTTTGTTTTATAATTTGATATTTTTTAAAATGGTATTTTGATTTTTTTTTCTCCATTTTTTCTCTTTCCTTTTTTACCGTTAAAATTTTTATCGCTTGCTTCTACATTATCCTTCAAAAGAAATTCTGCTAATTCACTTGGATAATAAGTACGAACAATCACTGAGCAAATCACAATAATAGTTAGGGTCGGGATCTGAGAATTCATTTAAGATGCAATCTATTTTAGAAAAATTAAAAAGTTTGGTTTTCAAAATTATTAATGCCGCTCATTTTTAACAATTATTCTATAGAAGGGTCTCTTTTGATAAAAACTTATTTGTTGAGTTCTCTGCAATAGATCTTATCGAACTTTAAAATAGCATTCTTACCTTCTTTACCTAAGTTTAGTACTTTGCTAGAGTTTTTTTCGCGTTTCGATTGTTTCTTTAGCAAAATCTTCATTGATAAAAATACCAGTTCCGCGTAAAATTTACTGTTAAAGAGAATTCTTTTTTTATCGTTGTAATTTAATAGTTTTATGAAGATTGTTTGGTGTTTGCCTACTTTTTTTGGACCTGATCGATGAGCTTCAATTATTATTTCGTTCAGGATTTTTAAATTTTTTGAAAAAAAGTCTTTCACAAATTTCACCAGGTTTCACCAGGTAATTCATTTACACCTTCAGTCCTCAGGTTGTTCCTTCGTGACCGAATTTTGAGATCAAACAGTTTCTCACTTATGTTTTTAATGGCATTTTTTTCTTATATAGATTCAAAACGTTTCTGTTCATAAAGATGTTTAATTTCACTTTCTTTCCGTTTACTTATTTCTGCAATCTTTTGTTTAATTAACTCTTCTTGGAAGTTTAGACTCTCTTTTATTTCTTCTGGGTCCTTTTCGATATTAGAAGTTTTTATTTTGTTCGAGATAGATCGAGTTCTAAATTATTTAGTAATAATTTTCATATTTGTGCTAGTTATTTTTGAGAAGTTTTTTTCCTGTTTTTTGAGAAGTCTTTTGGTCTCATTTAATATAATATTTTTTTGCTCATTTAGCATTTTTTTAATAATTTATTTCTATTTTTATTTATATTCATAATTATTATCTGTAATTTTACAATTATAAGTTTTGAATCTATATTTCTTTGAGCAGTCGAAAAAAACACGTGCGTATACTTCAGCGTTTAAAAAAATCTTTCTCAACACATGCTCAAAAATTTTGGTGAGTATCAAAATTTTGGTGAGTTTCATTTTCATTTATTTCAATGTCAAGAATAAATATACTGCAATAAAACTTGTTCAAACGACAGCCGTAATAAAGATGCACTGAAGATACATCAGCACAACTATTTGCTTTGGTCATATATACGCATGCGCGAAACTTTCTCTGTCTGTGTTTTTTATATGAACACAAAATGCATCCTTTATAGGGCTGTCCTCCAAAAACAAGTTTCTCGAGAATTTTCGGTTTTTCAAAGCATGACTTTCGTCGATTTTCTAGATGTTACAAAGTTTTTTAAATTAACTTTTCCCAAACAAACACGAATGCGCTAAACTTATGACAAACTTTCTAGGTCGATACTTTTTTCCAGTGAGCAAATCCAGATTTCGCGTTTTTAGTAAAATTAAGACTCAAATTATTTAAAGTTATTTAAACTGTTTATACTTATTTTCTTATAATAAATTGTGATAGATAAATGATTTAATATGTTTATTATATTAAATGATTACTTTCAATATATTATAGAAAAATTTGTTCAACTTATCACTTTTAAAAACGAATACGATATTCAAGCCCTTATTATAATCAGGTCAGGATTTTATAAAAAACGCGAAACTTGGATTTGCTCATTGGAAAAAAGTATCGACATAAAAAGTTTGTCATAAGTTTAGCGCATTCGTGTTTGTTTGGCAAAAGTTAATTTAAAAAACTTCGTCGCATCTGAAAAATTGACGAAAGTCATGCTAGTTGTGCTAATGTATCTTTATATACGCCAAAAGTATTAGTTGTGCTAATTTGCTCACTGAAATTTAGTTTCCACCAACTTTTTAGGTCTGCGTTATTTAAAAATTTTCAAACCTACTCTCGGTGCATCTTATTTACCGATAACCAATGAAAAACGCCAAATTTACCTTGGCAAGTTTTGATTGAACTCAAAATTTTTCTTAATTTACTTAATTTAAGCAAATATAAAACATTTAAAATTAAACAACTTTACCAATTCTAAAGCAAAACGTCTTCCCAAAAAAATTATTGTAGTACATCCTTTTTTTTTTTTATAAATCTATATATACGTATATATTATTAACAGATTTTTTCCATACGAATTTTTCTCAGGGGTATTTTTTGACGGGGGATTTTTTCCTGCAAAAATACTTTTAATATATATATACATATATATATATATATATATATATATATATATATATATATATATATATATATATATATATATATATATATATATATATATATATATATATATATATATATATACATATATATAGAAGGATATATATATATATATATGTATATATATATATATATATATATATATATATATATATATATATATATATATATATATATATATATATATATATATATAAATATATATATATATATATATATATATATACATATATATAGAAGGAATTATATATATATATATGTATATATATATATATATATATATATATATATATATATATATAATATATATATATATATATATATATATACATATATATATATATATATATATATATATATATATATATATATGTATATATATATATATATATATATATATAGTATATATATATATATATTATATATATATATATATATATATATATATATATATATATATATATATATATATATATATATATATATATATATATATATATATATATATATATATATATATATATATATATATATATATATATATATATATATATATATAGAAGGATATCAAGCAATTTTTCATAAATAATTATAGCATTGTTCATCTTTTACTAAGTGTAACGTATCTGGCATATGCTATAATTGATTACCCAATAACTTTCCAAAAAAAATTGAAAAATTACATTAAACCGCTGAAAGTAGCAAATTAGGTCCACTGGAGAATGTTTGCCGGTATCATTAGCTTAACTGCCAACATTTACAATTAAACAAGATTCAAATTTAGCCACAATACCTGCTTGTTTGAAATGTGCATTAAAACCCATTGAACGCAAGTTTCGATTAGAGTTTCGATATTCAGAAGAGTTTTGAATGCAATTTTTGATCATAAATTTTACTTCGTATTTATGTTGTTTATGCGCTGATTAATTTTAGTTTTTGCTACAAAAAAAACACTTACTTTATTATTTTTTATTTCATTTACACACAAAAAAAAGAAATTCTTAACTATAAAAAAAAAAAAAAAAAAAATGTTCGGTAAAGTAATTTTTATTGTTTTATTTCAGGCAAACAACAAATGAATAAGCAAGTTTTCTTTATTCTTATTGGAGCAGGGTTATTTATAACCAATAAAGCCACAGCAGATGTTATGAATGTGGTAAGAGACTCACCCTATCGTTGCCATTCCGAAGAAAAACATTGTATTAAAATTATCAACGAAAGGGTAAAAATATTTTCTTATTTTTTACTTTGTATATTTGCATATATTTAAATAGAGTTATTTGTATCTGAATTTTGATTTTGAATTTCATTTTTAAAATAGATAAGCTGTAATATATATGAATAAAAGAATTTCATATTATTACACCAAATGAAGGCAGAGGCGTAGGAGGAGTGGGGAGTAGGTTATGCGTCAGAGCACTTTCACTAATAAAGAAAAATGTTTAAGCTTTGTTCCTCCACTTTTAAGAAACTATTTATCTTATTTTATTTTTTATATCGAAATGCTATTTTATTATAAAAATTATTATTTTATTATAAATATTATTATTTTAATAAAGAAATGTGCGCGTGTAAAAATTAAGATATCTCAGACAACTAATAATAATGAAAAATAATAAAATGATAATGCGCATGTAGAAACTAAAATAAAAGAAAACTGTGAAAATCACAGTTAGATTAAAGTTTCTCATAGTTATCTGAAACTTTCTATCTAAATTTAAAAGGAGATTAGACCTTTTTTGTTTTCCAGTCTTAGAGACTACTGAAAAAATATGCCTTTTTTCCCCCACCCTCTTTTGATAATTCTCTCCTCTGCTAAAGCAAAAAAAAAATGTTTTTATATTGAATTTTTTAAATTATATGAGCAGGGTAGATAAGGGTATTATGAACACTATATGCGAAAACTGTAAAACTTTCAAGAATAACTATGCTAGATTCAAAGTTTGATTCCAATGTTTTTGCAAATTAACAATTAGATATTTGGGAGTTCGATATTTTATTTAAAAGACACAGTTGCTTTAAAAATATAGCAAAGTGATCATACTACCCATACCACGTGGTAGTATAAGCATTTTAAAAAAATTCAAAAGTTTCACTTTATTGAAGTAACAAAAATACTATCTTAAAAATTACAACTAATTTCTGGAATATAGTAATTTGGTATTAACAAAACTTATTATTAAAAAATAAAACTTTAAGTAACTTTGTTTTATGCAAAAAATTTAACTAATTTTTTAGTTTGTTAATTTTTTAATTTAGTTTGTTACTTTTTAATTTAGTTTATTGCTTTTTAATTTTATTTACTTAAACAAAAAATATACAAATTTCTAAACAAAAAATTTACAAATTTTTTGAATTCAAATTACAGAAAGATAGTTAAAAAAAGAAAGATACTTAATAAAAAGAAAGATACTTAATAAAAAGAAAGATACTTAACATTGTTAAAATAATAAAAATCTTTAGTATACTTTTCTTTTATTTAAAATGCAATTAAGACCACCCCAATTTAATAGGACTTTAAATTAGGTAACTTTAATGATAATAAAGATATTAATACGCCTATAAAACACGGCGTTAATTTTTGTTTAAAAATCTCCCGATCGCACAGTGGGTCAGAATACCAGTTTTTGAGACAAATTCATAACTTTTTACTTATTAGTCATATGTTCACCAAACTTGGCATGTGTACTAATATGAGGTCTCTGCTTCTTATGAGGGTAGTATTTTTGTTGTTTGGTTGCTATGAATATCTCAATACCATAGCAACCAGGTTTTTTTGTTAACTATAAAGTCAAATTGAGACAAAGTTATTATTTTTTCAAACCATTAACAGTATTATAACAAATTGCGATATACATGTTAAATGGATGAAATGATTTTTAAAGATATTGTTTTTATGAATTATTTTGTCGCATTAGACACCAAACTTGCATTGCAACAATAACATTTGCTTTATTGTAATAGTTGATGTAAATACACAAGTTTAGGCTTTGCCCTACACTACATATTAGAATAGTTTAATCATTGGTATCAGCCATTAACATTTTTTTAAACTAATATTGACAGAAAAGACATAGTCAATTTAAAAGAGATGCGCATGCGCCAGGACTACAATATAAAAATAGTACAAATCTAAGTTACATTTTCATTAATTGTTTTGTTTGTTTATGACTTAAGTTCCAGTATTTCTTTATTTTAAATCATACAGTATGTAATGCCGCTTTGATTTGGTCTTGGTCAGTGTTACTGTAATTTTGTTGGTCTTTATTAAACAACATCACTCCTTTTGCCAGATTCATATAAAAACATACTTATTACATCAATATTCAATAATTAGTTTTAATTTTCAAAGTAATATCTCTCAGCGTTCAAAAAGTGACTATGTAAAGTTTAAACCCCCTCAACTTGAGAGGTTACATCTTTTTAATGGTAATTATAATTAGTGTTCGGCACAAATTCAAATAGTTTGATCAAATATGCGTCAAATGTTTGAAATGGCCGAATTCAAATCTTCCTATTTTGAATTTAGATCAAGTTCAAATCTTTCCAAGATTTGATGTATATTTGAACGTTATTTAACTTATTTCATTTATTAATTTTAGTTATCTGAATCTATAAATTTTATTCATATTACAGCATTAGTTACTATTTCTCACACATTTCAGCTTCTTTTATTCTTTTTAATCCAACCAAGACTTCAAGCACTGGCAAGCTTGAATGGTATCTGCAGAGAAAAGATTTCTTTTGTCAGTAATAAGATTTTTTCCTAATGAGAAGAGCCTTTCTGATGATACAGATGTATCATCAGAAAGAAGTATTTTATCTTTTTCCATTTTTATTGTGGTTAAATTGTATTTGCAATTTTTTCTTTTCATTTTTACATATATTTTTTTCTACGTTTTTTCTTTTAATCTTGTACTTTGTTTACATTTCTTTTCTTTTTTTCTTTCTCTATGCTCTTTACTTTCTCTTTAATATTAACAAACTTTAATTAAAAACTCTTTTTTTTTTTTTTTTTTTTTTCCGTTATTGAAAGGCGACCGCCATTCCGGAAACCACTGCAAAGACCCCGGAATAAAGTGGTATATATGTTTGCGGGCCTGTAAAATTTGGCGTTTTTTTTTCAAACGCAAAAATTGAGAACAAAGTGAATATTTGAAAATCAAATCCAAATCCTCCAGATATTTGTCAAATCAAATTCAAATCTATCCCCTCAAAGAACAGTTCAAATTCAAATCTTTAAAGGTTTGACGTATATTTGATTTTGCCGAACACTAATTATAATGCCTAATATTAGTCAGAGATGCAAAGAAATGCAGGCAAACTTTATTTACAATTAATATATGCATGTTTAAGTTTTAAAAAATGTTGTCAGTTCACAAATAACTTTTGATATAAAAAATATCTGACACAACAATTAAAAAATATCTATATTTTTTTATCTTTTTGATATGGCAACTTAATTGACAAAATTAAAGTCTATTATATCTTACTAAACAATTTTAAATTATCGAAATCGAAAACTAATAGGCTTATTTAAAAAAATTATAAAATATATTTCACGATAATTAACATTTGATATTGTTGCCCATCAACATTGTCAATGGTAATTTAAAATTTTATAAAATTTTTAGTACTCTAAAATCTTTTCAAATAAATATATTTATTGTTCTAAATCCTTTATATTACAATAAAAGTACTAATTTCATATGCTATAATGTACTATGCTAAAATGTACTTGATGAGTTGATGTGGTTGAATGTACTATGCTATAATTTACTTGATAATTAATATTGCTGTTTTGCATCATTTCATTAAACCTTTTTTTTGTACTTTTGTCACACTCTGAGCCACTGTTGATTACCACTTTGGCTGTGTGAGCCACTTTGCGCATAATTTCAAACTTCTAGTCGTAGTGAGTGGAAACCATGTAAAAATAACAGTAAAATTTTAATATCAAAAGGTTTTGCGAGTGGTTTCTATCTGTACAGACATTTTGCGCTGAATTTGAATTTTGTTTAAAGCAAAGCGTATTTTTATGTAGCAAATCCTACCATTTTTTTAATTATATCTTGAGATTAAACTTTCACATTGATAACATAAAATCAAATTAATATTTGCTGAAAAATTATTACAAAAATTGGACACTTAAATTATAATTGTACTTCTGAATAAAAATTAATTATTGAAAAACCAAAAATATCTATGTAAAATAATTTTTTAAACTTTTGTAAAACGCCATATTTAAAATTTTGTAAATCTTCAAAAATTATTTAAAGAAACTATGAAATACTAGCTGATCTAACCTGTAAAAATACGGGTCTTTGAAAATTTTATCCATACTGAAATTTTCTATACTTTTTCCTTATATATATGTCCTATCTTTCCGGACCCACAAACTATATGGGTCTTTACCAAATCTACCATTTATATACTTATCTATTCCACAACAATCATAACTTTACCTATTATTTGTTTACTTTAATATTTTTACGTAAAATAATTTATTCAAAAAAATTGCTTTAGGAGCAAAAAAAAAATAACATGCGCGCCCTTTCAGCATACCTAGAGCTTATAAGAGATTTATAATTAGGTTTGTTTTTCTCCTAAACGCATGTCATTGATAGGTCAGTGGTTTAGTGTGCTGTTACCAGTGTCGTTTTGGTGGATTAAAGACATCTCTTTATAAATTTTGAAAATTTTTATTTCTTGCTGTATTTATAGCAAAATTTATTGCAAAAATTTTATAACAGTATCTTAAATTTTATTGCAGTTTAATATTATTTTATAAAAGCATAGCTTTTTTTTAGGTTAACAGCAGTTCTTTAGGGTGGCGATTTTTATTAAGTTTAATGAGCTATATAGATTTCTTATTTAACTTACGAATCTGTGAGGAAAAAACTTGATCATTTTTGTTTTCTTCAATTGTGAAATTTAGCGTTGAATAAATTTTTGGGCGATCCGTTATTTTAAAGTTTAGATAAAAACACTGCCAAAAAGTATATAAAGCCAAAAATTAATAGAGTAAAATACTATTTTGATGGTAATCTAAATTATCTCGTTATTGCACACTCGGTTTTGAATGTTTAACGGGGGCGTGGATTAATAGCTGTTTAACTCTAAATTTCCTTATTGTATCAGTATTAAATAACTTTAACTTTTAATTAATTTTAAATGTAATTAGTTTAATAAAATGGTTTCATTTAAATATAAAATTATTTA